TGGTGGAGGGCAATAAGGCTGATTTGCTCCTCGGAGGGGGAAGAGATGGGCTCTACAAAGCAGTGTCCAGGCCCTCCCTGACCGCCTCCCCCATCCCGCCAGGCTCGGAGCAGTCCCTGAGCACCCGGAGTCCAGCCAGCACCTGGGCTTATGTCCAGCAGCTGAAGGTCATCGACAACCAGCGGGAACTGTCCCGCCTCTCCCGGGAGCTGGAGCCTTGACGAGGGGGCTGGGGCTGGAGCAGCAGGCACTTCCCGCCTGGAAAGCCAGGGCACGCCTGGGCCCAGGGGCCCGCAGGCCGGCCGCAGCTGGGCAGGGCTCTCCGAGGAATGGACTTGAGGCCCTGGATCAGGCAGCGTGGAGGCATCTGTCCCCTGTGATGACTGTCGGCCGCGGAGGACCTCAGAGTGGAATGAGCGGAGGCCCAAGCCAAGGAACGGGGGATAGAGAGGCCAGAGTGGGTGGGAGAGCAGAGCAGGCGCTGGGACTCTGTGTTCAATAGAGAGCTCTCCACACCAGGTTTTTTCCAGACTCTGTGCCTCGTGGCTTTGTTGTCCAGCCATCTCCTGGCCCCTGTGGTGTGTTTGCACAGTGGACTGCGAGTGTCTGCATTTGTGTGGCATGTGTGTGGCAGGGGCAGGGCCGGCAGTGGGGAGGGCGGGGCGGGAAGGGGCAGCCCTGCTTTTCTTTCCATAGCACAGGAGAGAAACAGCTGGGTGTGGTCAGGGCTGATTGTGCAGGAGGGGTGGTCCCTGAGGAGCCCTATTGTTACCGTAAACTAACAGAGATGCCTGTGTGTGAGAGCCCAGCCCTGTGGGGTGTGGCAGGGAAGGCGAGGAGCTGAGGAGGAGGTGCTGTGCCCTGGAGTGGACCCAGAGAGGCTGACGGAGCAGCTTCATGGCCGTGTGTGGTCTCTGGGACCCAGGCAGGGCTCCCAGATGGCTCACTGCTGTCCATTTTACACACCCCCCACCCCACCCCCCTCCGGGCACAGCACCTGCTGGAGCCCGGAGCCCGTCACTGTCTGGCCTGGGTAACCCTCTGCTCTTCACGGTGGTCTGAGGGGACAGTGACAGCCCAGCTACAACTATCTCCTTCCACTGCCTCCTCCGCTTCGCTTCCTGTCCCTCGGCCTGGTGCACATCTTGGCAGAGGCTTCCAAGGGGAGTCCATCCCTTGCTGAGGCCTAACAGGCTTCCAGGAATTAGGCTTTCTCATCAGTGGCAAGAATGGTTCCAGCCGGCTCTGTCAGCATTAAGTCCTCTCTTCAGCATGTGCCTGGGAACCAGTTGCTCAGAGGACCCCTTCCACTGCTCTCTGCTCTCTGCTCCCCATGGCCCCGGGCCTGGCAGGGGGAGGTGCACTGTCTGGCCCCACGAGGGGCCTCTTGGCCTTGGGGATGACCCTGGGGTAGGTGTTGAGCTGCAGGGTCCAGGGCATGTGGAGGAAGTAGGCCCTGCATTTGCTCAGCAGGTACATCTGCCAGGGCTCAGGCTAGACACCCCTACACACACCTCCCCTCATCCCTACACACACACCTCCCCTCATCCCTACACACACCTCCCCTCACCCCTACACACACCACCCCTCACCCCTACACACACCTCCCCTCACCCCTACAGCGCCAGACCTCTTGTCCCCATGCTCAGGGACTCATGCAAGCTGCTTCCTGGAAGCGCCAGATGCTTAGTGACAGGCAGCACAACTGGGATGAAACCTCAGGTTTCTGAGTGAACCTGAGCCAGTCAATGAACAGTTCTCTGCCTGTGAGATGGGTGTGATGATCTTAGTCCAGTTCTTGGTGAAAAAGCAATCAAACTGCAGCTCTGCCTCCAGAGCCCAGGGGACAGCTGTGGGCTGTCCTGTGTCCTCAGCCTGGCGGGGATGCCTCCTCGTGGGCGGAGTCAGGCAGAGCCCGCTCCCCAGGGAGAACCTGGCGTGGAGCAGGTGGCGGCGGTAACCAGACCAGTTCCTTTGCCCGGAGAGGAGGTGGAGGACCCCTGGGCACAGAAGCTTCCAGAGCTGAGCAATCACAAGGCTGAGCCTCAGCCTGAGTGAGTCAGGACTCCCAGTGGCTTTCTTCTCTTCCAAACCCATTGTTGTCAGGGCTTCGGCAAGGCCGGCCTGCCCTTCACCATCCTCTGAGACCCAAGGGCAAGACCAGCCTTGCAGCGACGCAAGCCAAGCGGGGAGGGGGGAGGGGGCTGTGTCCCCATCAGTGTTTCTCCTCTGTGGTCACACCTACGTCCCTGAAGGACTTGGGCACCTTTTGAATCTCCCTCGGCCTTGGACTGCCCTGCAACGTCCCAGCTGCTCAGTCTCTTGGGCGGGACACCTTGGAGCCTGTGGGAGAGGCCGTGCCAGGAGACGGGTGCCCAGGGTGGCGGGAGGACACTGACTTGGCGCCGAGGCCCCGGTGACCAGGCTTCGTCACCGCAGAGGAGGGAACGGCTCCAGGTCACAGTGACTCGAGCTCTGAGGGGTGCTGCCTGTCGCCCTCACTGCCCAGGGGTGGGGTGGGTGGGGTGGGTGGGATGTCCTGGCAGCCCAGGCTGTGTGTAGGGCTCTCAGTCTGTGTCCCAGCTTCAGGGGAACCCTGAAGGGAGGAGGAATTCATGGGAGGCTGAGAGAAGGAAGTGCAAGGTCAAGCCTTTAAAAAACCGTTTACCTACAAGGAGGTGAAGCAGAGGGGATGTGTGTCCTATGGGGGAGGACAGAACGGAGGGGGTAATCCCTTCTCTCAAATACTCACCTTCCCCTCCCTTACCTCTTATCCTTAGCTTCCCTGTGCAGGCCTGAGGCAGGCTGGGGACCAGGCCAGGACTCTAATTGTGGGGTGCACACCAGGGAGGGGCACGTCTACAGCAGGCTGAGCAGGATCTGGTGAAGGGGTAGGGCAGGATGGGGAGTCCAACCCTCCAGCTGCTGCAGCTCCATTCCCTGGGAGGGAGTCCTCCCCTCTCTCCTAGTCCCACCTTGGGACTCTGGCTGCTCTGTTTTTTTGTATTTTATTTTCTTTCTTTTAGAGAGGAGAGAGAGAGAGAGAAAGAGAGAGAGAGAGAGAGAGAGAGAGAGAGAGAGAGAGAGAGAGAGAGAGAGAGAGAGAGAGAGAGAGAGAGAGAGAGAGAGAGAGAGAGAGAGAGAGAGAGAGAGATGGATGTGAGAGACAGAAACATTGATCAGTTGCCTCCTGCACACACCCCGACTGGGGATCAAACCCACAACCTGGGTATAATTGCCCTGACTCAGAATTGAACCCACGAACCTTCAGTGCACAGGATGATGCTCCAATCAACTGAGCCACACTGGCCAGGACAAAATTAGGTTTCTTAATAGAGCTGTTGTTCCCAGTACTTATCATGCTAATCAATTTTAATTGTTTCCATCCTTTCTAGCACACTTTCACTTCTATTATCTTTTTACCCTGATGATGGGGAGGTATTTTTACCCCTGTTTACAGTCAAAGAAATTGAGGCACAGGAAGATTTGCCTGAGGTCACATTACTGGTTAATAACAGGTGGGTTGGTGAAAGGGCTGGATGTGTTTCCGCCATGCCTATGCCATGGGCCTTGCTCATCCGTGCCCTTTCCTGTGCCCCGGAACTCCAGCATTTCATAGGCCCAGGCATATAAACTCCCCTTTCCCGTCCTCCCTCCCTCACTCCCTTCATTGTGGAGTCCTTACTACAGGCCTGGTAGAGGCTCTGTGAATGACACAGGCAGTCCTGGCTCCCCAGGGAGCAGACCAGCCAGCCGGGCAGATGGATGCAGAGCAAGGCCAGCAGAAGGGACAGGGTGCCTCAGAGGGCAAGTCCAGAGAGTGGGGGAGGCCTCATTTGCAGGGCTCACTGCTCACCGGCAAGCATTCAGACCCACGGCTGCTCCACGTTGGAATGCAGGTACACAGCCCCAGTCACTGCCCACCCCGCTCCCAGAGCCCTGCACACCAGTCGGCGATCCTCTGCCTCCCAGAGTTGGAGGCACTCTCAGCTCCCCACTGATACAAGCCACCAGATGTAGGGCTGGTGGCTCAGGCAAAAGTTCTTACCTGGCTGTTGTTCTTGATCCCTCCCTCCCTTCCATGGACAGATAGGCCAGAAAGTAAATGCATTTCCAAATGTGTCCTTATACCCTGCCCCGTACACAGAGTTCTGGGCTTCTCACATCTGCCAGGGCCATGGGCTTGAACTACATGGGTGCCTACTCAGGCCTGTCCAGTTGCCCCAGGCACCCCTCTCCGAGGTCCTGGACTCTTCAGGACCTGAATCTCGCCCTCCTGCTGCCCAGCTGACGGGACACCTGAGGGTGAAGGGGCTTTCTTCTGGGGCGGTGGCTGCCGTCCCTCCCAGTGACGATGCTGACGTCTCACCCTCCTGCTGCCCAGCTGACTGGGCACCCGAGGGCAAAGGGGCTTTCTTCCCGAGGGGCGGGGGCGGCGGGCGGTGGCTGCCGTCCCTCCCAGTGACGATGCTGACAGCAGCTCACTCTCGGAGCTGTGCTGGGAGAGCTTGGAGTCTGACTCAGCTGTGCTGAGAGAGCCTTCTCTCCCTGCCCGGGGCCTTTTCCTGAGGCAGGCGGGCCCATCTCCCATTGATGGAGCCGGAGGAGGCTGCTCTGCTGGTGGCGGCGGGTGGAACAGGGAGGCAGGAGCATGGGCCCAGGGACCCTCAGGAGGAGGAAGAAGGCCAGACTCAGAGCCCAGGCCCACTTAGTTTTACAGGCAAGTGAGATTCTGGTGGCTCGTCTGTGTTTAGACTGACCAGCACGGACCCCGGGCCAGGAGCCTGGACATGCAGGGCCTTGCCTGACCGTCATGCTCTTGGCTCTGGGGCTGTGCTCAGGGCCTCAGTGTTCTGGCTGGGACGTGAGCTGTGGGCAGCCCAATGTTCCCAGGCTGCTGGGTGGAGGAGAGGGCAGGCTTTCCTGGCACTCAGAGGACTCTGGGTAGCAGAGGGGCTGACAGAGGGTGACATTTGCTAGGGCCATGGCAGCAGGACATGTTAGGCTCTTTCTGCCTCCAGAAAAGTGCCCTGTGAACCAGAGCTTGAGGTTCACAGGTGGCAGGTGGTCCTCCCACAGTGAGCAGGCGGGGGCGGGGCGGGGGGTGAGGAGCCTTGGACACAGTGGCCACGGGCTTTGGGCAAGTCCCTTTCTCCCTCTGGGCCTTAGTTTCCTTACTTACAAACAGAGACTTGGACGAGGTAGGTGAGGGATGTGTTCCTGCATTTAGTGTCTATGACTTAGGCAGCTCAAGCCATCACACGGGGTGAGGGGGCCCAGACCTCTCTTGGTCATGATGCTGGCGACTCCTCTGAGCGTCTTCCCAGCAGTGGCCTCCAGGCAGACTGCCCTGGAGAGGGCGAGCCAGCGCAGGCGCGGTTTATCAGAAGGCTTCTCAGAGAGTTCCCTGTCCCTGAATACAACTTCCTGCAGCGCACCTGAGTCTCCCTTGCCTGCAGAAGGCCTCTGTTGTGTGGATATATAACTTGGGAGAATTCTAATGGTCACTTTAAGGGGAGAAAAGGAAAGAC